TCCAACCGTTCCCCTACCCCTGCCATCCCACCCCCAAACCCTGGCCCTCAGCACCGCCTCTGCCCGGCTGTTAAATCCCCCCAGGGCTGGGGACTCGACCCCTTCCCTGGGCAGCCCCTTCCAGCCCCTGACAGCCCCAAGGGGAAGGAATTGTTCCCCATGGCCAACCTCACCCTGCCCTGGCACAACTTGAGGCCGGTGCCCCTCGTCCCATCGCCCCTTCCCTGGGTGCAGAGCCCGACCCCCCCGGCTCCCCCCTCCTCTCAGGCAGTTGTAGGCAGCGATGAGGGCTCCCCTCAGCCTCCTCTGCTCCAGGCTGAACCCCCCCAGCTCCCCCAGCCGCTCCCCAGCAGCCTGGGGCTCCAGACCCCTCCCCAGCTCCGCTGCCCTTCTCTGGACACGCTCCAGCACTTCCCCCAGCCCTGGTGGGATGGGAGCTGTGGGGTGGCAGGGCTTTACCACCTCCCGTAACACTGTGCATGTGCATGGAGTGGGAAAACAAGGCAAGACCTTGCTCCCCTGCCCCCATGTTCTTTCAGGGGTGGGAGCCAGCCCCAAGCTTGCTTGAGGGCTGGAGGGACGTGGCACCCTCTGCGAGCTGCCTGTTTTCTCTCCCCGCTGTTGAATTGGGTGCTGTCCTTGGGAGGCAGAGTCTTTGCACCCGTGCAGATGCTCAGGAGTTTGCCTTGCTCCTGACTGGTGGGTGCCCTGATGGTCAGATGCAGAATGGGGTTCTGGGGGTGGGGGAGTCTGGGTATTGCCAGGTTTTTCCCTCATGGCGAAGCAGGAAAAAACCACAAAAGAAGCCCAAGGAAAAGGATGTGGGGCAGCAGAGGTGTTGCAGAGCAGTGTGGGACTGGCAGTGGCATGATCTGTCCCACAAAACTACCTGCAGAGAGAGACCAGACGGGAGCATCGCTGCGGTGCTTCTGGATGGGTGTAAATGCTGCCAAGATTTCGGAACAGCCGGCACAAACACGTGTTGGAGCGGTTGTGCACCCAGCTATGTTCGTGCTGGTGTCCCTGACAAGTTTGACCTGTGTGTATTTTACTGTCCCAACGCTTGCTGGTGTAGATGGAGCTGCACAAGGTGAAATCAATGCACGTTGTTGTTAGGAAGCGTGGATGGATCTCTTAATAGCAACGACCCTCTTCTCCCAAAACTGCTGTGGAAGAAATGTAGGCAATGTATACGGTCTGCGTGGTTGCACACCCTTGTTGCAGCACGGGGTGGGTCTACGAGGCGCAGTGGGGAAGCTTTAAGCACTGCCTGATGCTGCGTACACTGTCTGTGGTGGAGGGGAGTCCACAGAGCTGGCCTCTGCGTTTGGCTTGCCCCCCTGTCCTTCCCATGGATGTGTTCTGTCCCTTGGCACGTGTCCTGGTAGCATCTGACCAGTTTGCTAGTTGTCTTTAACTTGCAATGACTCTGTATTTCTAGCTGTTGCGCAGGTTGCTCTGACATCAGAGGGTGGAGTTTGTCCTAGAAGTAAATCAGTGATATGAGGCAGTGACTGTCATTTGTCATTTTGTTCTCATTTCAGGAGACCTCAGCCATGCTGAGCTGATGATGATGACGATAGCTGACATCATAAAGCAATTAATTGAGGCTCATGAGCAGGGAAAAGATGTAAATCTGAACAAGTAAGTCACTCTGGGCTGACACTGAAGAGCTGATCTACCAGTGATGAATGTGTCCTGTACAGTCTATTTTGTTGAGGCTCTATTTTAAAATGTTTTATTGGCACAGGCTACTGTCATTTCTCTTACTGTTATCTGGTTAAAAAATGCCAGCAAGATTTGTAAATTCTGTGGTGATTTGACATCCTTCTTGCTGCTTCATTGGCAACGCTTGGAGAACAAAATGGGTTGTATTGGTGAAAAACTCTAAGAAACTTGTCATGGCCTTTTTGTGTTTCCACCTGTGTTCATCCTTCAGTAATCCCAAAGTCAGTTCCATCAGGGAAGGGAGAGATTTATTTAGAGAAAAAGTTTAAATCAGATTTTTTTAGCAATGTGTTATAAATGAAGTTGTTTACAGAAAGTTCTTCCATCTTTACATATGTGGAATAATGAAACCTGAATTTCTCCCACTGTTTCTCTTTCATTTACATGCTATAATTGCCAGCTTTTTTCTGATGCTGGAAGTAACTGACATGAATGTCATAGAGGTTAATTCAGCTGAAGTCTGTAGGTGTAGGGGTTAATCAGATGGAAGTCTTATGAAAAGAATTAAATCACTGAAAATGGGTAAGCCAGAGTCTGTGGGCAGCTTTTGCAATGTTTTGATAAAGTCATACTTAGAAATAAAATGTACAAAACTCAAAACATCTGCAATTGTTGCATATCAACTTTATTTGGAGTTTATTTTTGGTATCTGAATACGCGGTGCCGCTGTTGCAAGGAAGTACTGTATGCTTTTTGTACAAATTGGGAGAACCTACCTAGACCTCCATGTAACTAACAGTAATACAGTAGCACTGCGGTAGGATATGGATATGCGAGTCAGAATGGAGTTGTTAATTTGAGGTATTTTGGCTTTCAGGCTGAAAACCAAGACGTCAGCGAAGTATGGACTTTCGGCACAGCCACGTTTGGTTGACATCATCGCTGCTGTTCCACCACAGTATCGCAAGGTGCTGGTCCCAAAGCTGAAAGCCAAGCCTATAAGGACTGCTAGTGGGGTAAGCATGTGCATCATTCTCTCCATCCACCACAATCCTCCCCTGCTCTCAATGATAAATTACATTTAATTGTTTTCAAAGACCAGGGTATTGACTGTCCAGAAGCTTTAAGGAAGATGCGCTGGCTGTGTTGCCAGCTTCCAAGTTGCCTTTTCTGTGATGTTGTGCTCACAGGGCTATTGCTTTCAAAGCATTTGAGAGAAAGTGGAGGTCTGGAGATTTTGGTTCAGAGCAGCATGTCTTGCTTTTTAGTTGCTGTAGAAACAGTGCAGCTTACACTGCAGGCCCTCTCCGTGACCAAAGGTAAAATGTTAGTGTTTAACCTGTTTCTTTAAATGTAGTTCAGGCTGAAAGCAGGAAGAGAGATACAGCTAACATTCAGCTGTGTGTTTTTAAGCTTCCCTACTGTGTGTATACCATGCCTAAACTGAAGTTAACAAAAAAAAAAAACCCCAATGAGAAACAAAAATCCCAGGAAGCGTTCAATTTTTATAACTTAAAAAAACCCCAAAACACCCCAAACAAAAAACCACCACCCTCCAAAACTCCTGATGTCTTTAATTTCTTCTTTCTGGCTGTTGAATATTTCCTTAAACTCTTACTCCAGACAGGATTTCTGAAACCTGGAAACGAGGTATTCCAAGTTGGGTCCCCCAAATTAGTGGACACTAGAAAATGTTGGTGTGTCTGTCTCTTCTTCCGTCAGGTCCTTTTTAAAAAAGAAGATAGCATCTTACGTGATGTTTGCATTTAATGCGTGAAAAGCCATGTGAGATGAGCCTGGGAAAAAAAGGCATCTGTTTTTCTTAGCTTAGGTTTACGTCTTTTTGTTTCTCTTCATCCCTTCCCCATCTGCCAGGTGGTGTTTGATATGCTCGGTGGCACACTCTCACCCTTGTGCTGTTTTAGATGTGTGTTAGATGGTCCTGGTGAATACCTGACTGTCAGTTTGCATCTTTTCAGCACGGTGGTTAATCAGATTTAGTGTAAGACACACGGTTCTTTATAATATACTGCCAAGTTTATTCTAATTAGTGAAAATAGGATTCCTATTTCTTGATATATTTGTTATCGTAGAATCACAGGATGGTTTGGGTGGGAAGGGAGCGTTACAGCTCACCCAGACCAACCCCCTGCCGTGAGCAGGGACATCTCCAACCGGATCAGGTTGCTCACAGCCCCATCCAACCTGACCTGGAATGTTCCCAGGGATGGGGCCTCCACCACCTCTCTGGGCAACCCCTGCCAGGGTTTATCTCCTTATCCCTCCTACTGAGGGAGCTGGTGAAATGCTCACCAATCCACTTTCCATCATCTATCAGCAGTCCTGGATGACTGGGGAGGTCTCAGATGACTGGAGGTTGGCAAATGTGGTGCCCATCTACAAGAAGGGCCAGAAGGAGGATCTGGGGAACTACAGGCCTGTCAGACTGATCTTGGTGCTGGGGAGGGTCACGGAGCAGATCAACTTGAGTGCCATCACGTGGCACGTACAGGACAACCAAGTGATCAGGCCCAGTCAGCATGGGTTGACCAACTGCTTGACCAACCTGATCTCCTTCTATGACGAGGTGACCCACATAATGGACGAGGGAAAGGCTGTGGATGTAGTGTACCTAGGCTTTAGTAAAGCCTTTGACACCGGTTCCCACAGCATTCTGCTTGGGAAACAGGCTGCCCATGGCTTGGACAGGCACACGCGTTGCTGAGTGAAGCCAGTCAGCATGGGTTGACCAACTGCTTGACCAACCTGATCTCCTTCTATGACGAGGTGACCCACATAATGGACGAGGGAAAGGCTGTGGATGTAGTGTACCTAGGCTTTAGTAAAGCCTTTGACACCGGTTCCCACAGCATTCTGCTTGGGAAACAGGCTGCCCATGGCTTGGACAGGCACACGCGTTGCTGAGTGAAGAACTGTCGCGTTTCTGAGTGAAGAACTGTCTGGATGGCTGGGCCCAAAGAGTTGTGGTGGCTGGTCACCACAGCTGGTGGCTGGTCACAAGCGGTGTCCCCCAGGTCTCAGTGTTGGGCCCAGCTCTGTTTAACATCTTTATCCATGACTGGGCGAGGGGATCGAAGGCACCCTCAGCCAGTTTGCAGATGACACCGAGCTGTGCGGGAGTGTGGATTTGCTGGGGGGAGGAGGGCTCTGCAGAGGGACCTGGCCAGTCTGGATCCATGGGCCCAGGGCAATGGGGTGAGGGTCAACAAGGCCAAGGGCCGGGTCCTGCCCTGGGGTCACCACAACCCCAGGCAG